ATTCCTAGTTTATTTATCTCATTTTATTAAAAATATTTATATTAATGTTACATATAGTTTAATATCAGATAATATACATATAATTGTAAAAAAAATGATTTATTACTCATTTAAAATTCATATTAAGCTTCTTATTTGATATTTTAAACAAAATTTACATTCAAAATTCGAAAATAACAACCAAAATAATGATTTTTAATTTCAATAATTTATTTTCAAACTTATTAATCGTCTAACTTATTAAACATTTTTAAAACAGTTAAGTTAATAGTTAAATTTTAAATACATGAAACTTAAGTAATAAAGAATTTGAAATTTTTCTTTCAAAATCTAAATATCCGAACCCGACCCGAAATAACCGAACCCGAATTAAAAATATCCGAACCCGACCCGATATGTAAAAATACCCAAACGGGTTCTAAACCCCAATACCCGAAAACCCGAAATACCCGACCCGAACCCGAACGCTCACCCCTAGCTCCATTGCTGAACTTCTGACTTGATTTCCCAACTTTTACTTTTTTAATATTTTAATAATTTTTTCGGCTGAATTAAAAAAAAAAACAAAAATGTTTATCAATCGCGGACCACCATGTATCAGTGGATCCGCGTTTGACTTAAGAGTTACCTCTTAAATAAAGCATTTAGTAATCGAATCCTTAATTGTGCCATGAGACCCATCATTATTTTAATTTTTTTTTTATGAACTCCAAGAGTCTTGCAATGGAGTTGGTCTTAGAACATGTTTATTGGGGTTGTTTATGAAGGTTGCTTAGGGATTTTTTAAACATTAACCCCATAAAATAGTTAAGCAACATTGCTCAAATTATTTTAATTAAGCAATCCATTTTGACTGTTACTTGCATTCTTCGTGGGTTTTACCGATACTTGGCAATCTGCAATTGGTTTATTATTAAATTTTTTAAAACAAAAATAAATAAAAAAGAAAAATTAAGCAATCCATTTTATGGTCCCTCCAATAAACTGTTCTTACAATCTGTGCGTGGATGCCTGATACAAACTTTTGTCCATTTTTGTAAAAATGAAAATAAATACTTTGTCCATTTCCACTTTGGATCGACATGGGAAGTTTCCTATACAAAAGAAGACAAACTGAAAAAAGTAGAAACAGAAAATGTGAATAAGGTGTGAAGTCTAATCCCATGATACCGTTAAGTATACAAAAGAATACAAACAATCATAAATCAAAATTTTTGTTTTGATATAATCGGGTACTTAACTCTTTAAAACTATATCCCTATGTTTAATATTTTATACAGTACATTGTTAATGTTTTAATATACAATGCTACACATAAAATCACTTTTCCCCGGCAGTCACTTTTTTTTCTTAGCAAAAACTCCGGACGATTTACTGATTGAATCTATTTACCCCATTTGTTTCTTCTTTTTTGGTTTCCGTAAGCATGAAGTTAATTAAATTAGAATACTACACATAACTGTGTAAATCATCACAAATCAATGCTTAGTGCCATTTGTAATTAAATGCATGCTACGTACCATTTTGGTATCTGTTTCTACGCATGTATGATTCTAGACTTTTCTAATAGTAGTAGTATAGTGTTTAGTGTTCTTTTTGATTAATCTGGGACATGCCTATATGAAAAAGTCGTACTAATTTACAAGGGAATATGCATATATGCATAGATAAATTCTCTACCATTGAAGTATTGGCCTAATGGTAAAAAAGTTTCTAGAAATCATTCCGTCAATCGAATTCGATTTTCATTAGAATTGACTATTTATAATGGTTCTGACAAAAGTGAAACCACATTTTTCTTTTAATGAAAAAATGATAGATTCTCTCCTCAAGTAATTAAACGAGGCATAAAGTATGATTTCATATCTACATAACCACATAATTAAGTGTAATAGAGTACATTCGATCCCGGCTTGTTTAACTTCCCAAACTCAGCATGTCACCCAGACCATCACCACCTTATGATTACCTTAGTGTCATTTGTTTCCTATCAAATGCATGCTACGTACGTTTTTGGTATCTATTTCTAGGCATGCGGGTTTCTTACATATCCTGTATAATAGTATGTTACTGTTTGTTGATTAAAAAAAACAATGTTACTGTTTAAACTGAAACATATATAGTACACCTAATTGCACTAGTTAAAATAAATGTTTTGTAATTCGTTTTCTACTAAATCCATATTAGAAATGATTTCGTAGCATGCTGCGTGCATATATCTTATCTTATATGGCTCTTGGGTTAGTTTCATTATTTTAAGATTAATGCCAGTGGTTAGAGTCCTTTGCGTCCTGATCACGGCTTCTATCTACGCAATGAAAATTTATTTCCTCTACATTTTTTAAAAAAGTGCAAGACACAATATACAAAAATGTGAATATGTAACATCAAAAGTGAATACTGAATTTTCTCAAAAAAAAAAGTGAATACTGAATGCGGTATAGTAGATAGATTACTTCACTTTGAGAAACCGAATGAAATTTTAATGTGTTGTGATAATCGTAAAATATGTAGTATCAAAAGCTTGTCTATATTTTTGGTTGATCGAGTATATATTACTTATATTCGAAATAGAGTAATTCTCTCAAATAAATATTTTTTAAGTTTTAATCAAAAAATAGATATCAAAAACTAAAATGATCAAATTAGTATTTTTTTATTTTGAAAATTTTAAGTTTTTAAATAAAAAATTTTAAACTCTATCTCGAAAACCCTATTCCTCAACTGTAAACAAAGAAATCTAGGATTAGTTAACCTACAAGATACAAGTGTATGTTTACTTATTATTAATAAAATATTTAGATATATTTTGATCATTTTTATTTTTAAAATTTATATTTATGACAAAAGTTTTTTTTAGATCCATTCTAGATATTTTTTCTTCAAAATATGTTATATCATTCTTGAATTATATGATAATAGGTAACCAAATAGCCAAATTTACTTCGATAAAAGACGTGCGATACAAAAAATAAAATGAAACTCGTGCCCCTATATGTTCTCTAATTCTCCACTCTTATCTAGCCTGTTAATATTTCATTGTTGTTCAGGGAAGTATTGATATTCTTGTGTTAGAAGAATATAAACAAATTAGAGAGATTTAGGGAAATACCCATATTGAGAGCTTATATTAGAGAAATGTCTATGAGTTGACATAAATGTAAGTTTTTATACAATTAAGACTTGGTTAGACCTTAAAGTCCCTCTTGTTTTCTCTGCGTTTCTTTATTATTTCTGACACTCTCTTTCTTCTTCTCTCTTCCACTCTCTTTCCATTTCTTCATTGTTTTCTTATTATACTTTTCTTTTCTTCCACATTTTTTCTCATCTACAATTTTAATTTTATATATGTAAATGATTTTTAAGTTTACTTATTTTGATAGAGAAATGAAACTTCAACAATATTTATTTATTAATATATAATACCTAATGCATGTATTGACGTTTACAAAATTTATTAACAAGTAACATCTCTGTTAACACTTACAATACAAGTCTTACTAACAGTTAACACATTTATTAACATTTACAAAATTTGTTAACAGTTAATGCCTCTGTTTATACATCTGGTACAAGTATTTGTTAACAGTTAACACATTAGTTGATATCCACATTATTTGTTAACAGCTAACATCAGTGTTAACATCTTTGGCGATTTTAGAAAAATTTCAATGCTGATTTTCTCAGAATTTGGTGTAACTAAAATAATTTAGATTCATAAGAATAGTAGTAAAAAAGTAATAAGTTTTTTTCGCAACAATTATTTTTTACATAGAAAATAGAATGCATAACATGATAAGAGAGTTGAGAATAAGAAAGAATAGGAATGGAAGGAAAGAGAAAGAGAAGTTGTCAATTCGATGGAGAAAGAAAGTGTCAGGAGAGAGAGTGTCACTTGCATGTAAAAGAAGGACAAAATAGTTATTATAATTAATTAAGTCAAATCATGTGTATTTCACTAATTAGTGGTCCAAAAAGAATATGTGAACAAATAATCTCAACAAATTAACCTTTTTAGCCAAAAAAATTAACTTAGGAATAAACAAACTTTTCTACCTACGGTTTAGATAATCATAGAAGTCTCTATCAACATGATACGAGCGATTACCTTTACTCACAATCTAATAGTATGGCCTACAATGCAATAAAATACTAAAGACAAAATCATTCAAATTGAAATTGAGTTTTGTAATTGCACGACTCTTTCTCATTTTCATTCAAGTTACGGATGTTTTGCATACCTCCAAAGATTTAAAAGTACTTGTGCAACTGGCACTAGCTAGGTTCCATTATTTGACTTCGCATTCTTTATCACAAATAGGAAATTCAGCATGAAACGTTTTATCCTAATCCTATGTTATATCAACTTCAGTTTAGTCTATAACCAGCTTGTGACAAGTGTTTTTGTATCTATGATCTGATTAATGTTTGTTATCCGGGATTAATTTGAGCTCCTTTCTGGACGCCGTGAACAGGAGTCTATGGTCCATTTTCCAAATACTATGTGAAACGCTCACTTTAGTGATATCAAACCACTAATAATCCTTTGTTCATTTTATAGAATCCGTTAAATCCAACCGTTTTTAGCTTATGATGATTATTCATTCCGTTTCATAATATAACGTTTTTTTAGCTATAGATACAGATATTAGAAATGTATATACTTTAAAAAAAATATATAAATATATACTAAATAGAAACATGAATATTATTAAATACAACTCAAATAATCATGAAAACTTATAATTCGTTCCATTAAATCTCTAAATTTTCCTCATCAACTCAACGAAAATTTTTTTTGCCATCCATTTCTATTTTGGAGATTGTTTTTTAACGATATTTTGATACACTTGGGAATTTAAACAAGAGAATATATAGTCTCCCCTCTGATAAATGTTGCCTGATTGCAAAATCAATTATCGTACTGTGAAAGACTAGTATGCAATTATAGTTAACAAGAGAAAAGACTCTGAGAGAGAGTCTTCAGAACATCCAGGTTCAAAGAGTCCTCATATTTTGTTCAATCAAATACTCTCGGCTAAATGACTTTACCATCAAACAATATGTTCAAAATTGAGTTTCACAGAAGAAACATACCACACCAACTTTGAATTTTGCCTAAATTAATTGTAGGTCGATTTTGGTTTGATAAATATCGGTTCAGTTTCTATATATCACAATGGCTAAACACAAAATGAATTGAAAAATAAGGGAAAATAATACTAAACCAACGGTTTTGCCTTGCGTACATGACCTATGCTGTTGACGAGATCTTTACGTGTACACACAGGGAACATGTTGACGTTCTTGAGAACTTTCAATCGCCAAAAAACGTATGGAAAACTCAACTGATCACGCGACGTGTAGCGGACAACTTCATTGAACCAGAGGCACATGAAAAGGTTCGTCAGTGGTGTGTGCTCCCTCACAATCACAGAGGCTTCAGACAAAGCTATTAAGTTGAAAACACACACATATAAAACACTGCTTGTTGTCACAAAAACTTCATCCTCACTGAGATTATAAAAAGAGTTTTTACCTTTTTTCCCGTTGAATCTTTTATCTTCGGGTAACTTGTCACGCCTGTACTGATTTATCTGTACTTCGACTTCTTCAGGTGTAGCTTTGTGTTTCCTGACAACAGCTTTTGCCTCGTCATATACACTACCTCGAGCTCCATGTTCTGAAATGGCAAGCACCGAGTTTGTTCTCCAAAGAAGAGCATCTAATACACCCAGTGGATCCCTTCTAAACTGGGACTTGGAGTCTACCCAAATCGAGTACTTAGCCTCCGGGAAAAGGCGATGAGACAACATCTAACAACAATATGTAGATTCAATTAAAAAAAGTCATGAAAACATCTTACATTATATTACTCATATATGGTTGAAATTTTTGAAAAGGAAGAGACATAACTGGTGACTCCAACATGTAGATTCGGTTTTTACGGGTAGATTCTTAACTAAACATATGTCAAGCCATAAGCAGAAATGAAATATAGGAAAAAAACACACAAAGGGCAGAGAGTAGCGTGAACAAATCAGCAGAAGTTAAAATCCACTAATCCAGTGAATTTTCAACAAATCAACATGTGCCAGTGAAGCAGACGAAGGGTACCTTAGGGATTTTTCCATTAAGCCTTTGGTCCATAAAAGGCAGATCCTTCACGACCACAACTCGCCATTTACCAATGTAACCATTCTCGCCAATCTTATGCCCCTCTGCTTCCTGTGTTGCCAATGTAACATCATCCCAAAACGCAACGTAGCATACCTACATCCACAAAAAAACACAATTAGATGCACAAGACCAAAGGAAAAACAGTTCAAGAACAGTGACGAACCTTTTGAGTTGATGCCTCAGACATTCCAATAGGTTGGTAAAGATTATCTCCACCACCAAAAGCACACGTGGAGACAACAACTTGACAACTTCGCATAAACTTCTTATCCTCATCCTCAATCCTAAACCCACCATTCTCATTGAAAAACCCACAATGCACCGAAACAGTCTCACTCACCTAAAACACAACAACCAAAAAAAAATAATAATTCAGGAATCAAAGAAGAATACAATAATGTGGAAAACACACACAAGTTGTTATTACCAAGTGTCATGACCTGAAAACTAGTCTCTCTCTCAGCAAAACTCTGGTTCCCAGTAAATAAATTAAACCGCGTCCCGTTCCCACGAACATGAGAGCTTGCAAAATCTGTACCGGTTCGGTACACAAGTTTCTTAACCGGAGAGGTTGAATCTTTACGGTCCAAGATCTCAAGATGCTCAAGCTCTTCAGGAGGTAGAAGCTTTAAACAACCTAACCCACACACACAAAATCAATAATTTTAAATTCAATTAATGTTGAAATAGATGGAGAGAGAGAGAGGGAGAGGTTTACGTTGCCTAACACCAGCGATGACTTTCGTAGTCGGATCCAATCGATTCAAGTTTCCTTCGATTTTCTTGTTAGGGTTTGAATCCGGATGGTGTTTTTTCAGCTCAGGTTTGGTTCCGATCCTGGTTGATTCGAAGAGGAGTAAAGCGAGGGCGAGGAGGAAAATTAAGAGGATCCAGTGTCTGAGGAGGAGTCTGAGGAAGTAGCGTGGAAGCTCGGAGGTGGTGGTTCGGTGACCTGGTTTCTTCCGCTTTCTACGGGTTCGGGTGGGGCGGATCCGGTTTAGGTCGTTGGAGTCGTCGTCGTCCGACATTGAGATTGATACGCTGTTGTTGAACATTTTTGTGTGTGTGTGTGTGTTTATTATGGTGAATCGTGATTGATGGGATTGAAGTGTTGTTTCTAGGGGGAGATGTAGAGGTGATGTGATGGTCGATGATGAACACGGTAGAGAAGAAGAGTGTTTAGATTTCAATCTGGGGTATTTTAAAACGAATTTCTATGTTTTAAGACCAGGGCACGTGCACACATAAGTGAAGTGAACCGAACCGAGATTTCGGTTATTTTAGTTTAGAAGATTGGTTTAAATTAGTAGGTTCTAGGCCTGGGCATTCGGGTACTCGGGTCGGGTTCGGGTCGGGTCCTTTCGGGTCCGGGTCTTTCGGGTCTAGGAGTTTAGGACCCGATAGGGTAATTTCAAATTTTCGGTTTCGATTCGGTTCGGGTCGTACCGGGTCCGGGTCGGGTCGGGTCTTAGATAGTTGGACCCATTCGGGTAATTAGAATTTATCGGTTCGGATTCGGTTCGGTTTCGGGTCGGGTTCGGTTCGGGTTCGACCTAAAAAATACCTAAATATATAAAAAAAAATCTGAAAATACTTATATATCTGAAAATATTCAAAATTTTATTCAAAATTTGTGTTTTTACTATATTAAAATGTGTATATATATTAAACTATGCGAGATACAACAACAATTCGTTGTCTCCTAGTGGTTGACCCCCTTACTCTCTATAGAAACAACCCGTCTTCGACTCCCCCTCAATGCATTTTATTTAATTTACACTATTAATTCGGGTACCCATCGGGTTTCGGGTTCGGTCCGGGTCGGGTCCAAGACCCNTCGTTGTCTCCTAGTGGTTGACCCCCTTACTCTCTATAGAAACAACCCGTCTTCGACTCCCCCTCAATGCATTTTATTTAATTTACACTATTAATTCGGGTACCCATCGGGTTTCGGGTTCGGTCCGGGTCGGGTCCAAGACCCGCGGGTCCTCCACAACAAGACCCGATAGGGTAATTTGCTCGGGTCGGTTCCTACCCAGACCCGGTTTTTTCGGGTCGGTTTCGGGTCGGGTCTTCGGGTCCGGGTAAAATGCCCAGGCCTAGTAGGTTCTCTAAAAATCTTTCGTTTTGAGTTTGGTTCAGCAATCGGGTTTTTCGGTTTTCTTTTAAGTTTTTATCCGAATCATACCAAAAATCTTAACCAAACTAACTAAATTTCGAATTGAACAAATAAAATTCATTCAGTCAAAAAAATCCAAAAAATTAACTAGACTAACCAAATTTAACCAAAATTTACTGAATTTATCCAAAAGTTTAATAAACCAAAATCTAACCGAATATTTGTGTGTATTTAAATAAATGAACGAACCAATCACTAAAAACTAATTCGGTGATAAGATTTAATAAAACTCTTAACTCTAAACAAAAGAAAAATCTAGAATTAGTTAACTCAAAAGTATAAATGTATATTTAATAAAATATTTAAGTGTTATTTTGGTCATTTTAATTGTTCAAGTCTATATTTATAATAAAAAGTTTTTTAAGTATATTCTAATCATTTTCTCTGCATAGTTTTTTGTTGAACCAAACTAACCAGAGCCAAAAACTTGACTGAATAACCCAAACTACCTGAATCTAATCAAGGTTTTCTAGGCGAAACACGAAGATTTGGTGGGGGCTAAGGCACCAAACTGTTGATAGCTTAACACACATAAACCAATCCGACTTCTTGATTCTAAACACATTGGCACCAAAGCAAGTCCATAAAAAGCATTGAGAAAGAAGCTACACAATGTCATCTATACATTACATTGGTTACATATATAGAAATTGTATATTACGAAACCCCCAAAGTATCTCATTGAGACTCTTCTCTTGCCATTAATTCGTTTAAGGGGGGAAAAGCAAAAGAAGAGAGAAGAAACACACTTCCCTTTTTATTTTCAAGCAACGGGGAGAGAATCTTCCTGCTCCTCCAAGGATGTAGTTGGAGTGCCACTTCCACCATTTAACACAGTGACTTTACCTTCAGAGTCAACGTCCACAATCACAGAGTCTCCTTCTTTGATCTCTCTCGCTAGCATCTTCTCTGCCATGCTATCCTCTAAAAGTCTCATGATAGCTCTTCTCAACGGTCTTGCTCCGTAGCTAGGGTTATAACCTTCGTCCACTACTCTCTCTCTGAACCTCTCAGTCACCTGAAGCTCAATCTCCTTCTTCTTCAGCCTCTCAAACACTTCCTGTAACAGAATGTCTGCAATGTCTTTCACTTCCAGCTTAGTTAGCTGTCTGAACACAATCATCTCGTCAAGCCTGTTTAGGAACTCCGGTCTGAAGTACTGTTTCAGCTCCTCCGTTACAAGGCTCTTGATTCTGTTGTAGCTGCTGTCTTTCTCGTCGTAGTCTAAGTCGAAACCAATACGTCTTCCTCCTTTCTCAATCACACTGCTTCCGACGTTCGATGTCATGATGAGAAGCGTATTTTTGAAGTCCACTGTTCTTCCTTTGCTGTCTGTTAGTCTACCGTCTTCGAGGATCTGAAGCATCATGTTGAAAACATCTGGGTGGGCTTTCTCTATCTCGTCGAATAGAACGACTGTGTAAGGGCGACGTCTAACTGCTTCTGTTAGCTGACCTCCTTCGGTGTAACCCACGTATCCAGGAGGCGAACCAATGAGTTTAGAGACTGTGTGCCTCTCCATGAACTCACTCATATCTAGACGAATCATGGCTTCTTCAGATCCAAAGTAATAAGCTGCCAAAGCTTTGGCAAGCTCTGATTTCCCGACACCAGTAGGACCAGAGAATATAAAACTGGCTATTGGACGGTTAGGGTTCTTGAGTCCAACACGTGCACGACGAATGGCTCGGCTTATGGCTTTGACAGCTTCATCTTGGCCTATGACACGTTTGTGGAGGGTTTCTTCCATCTTGAGGAGACGATCAGACTCATCGGTTGATACCTTCTCTACGGGAATACCAGTCCATGAAGAGACAATGTGCTGGATGTCTGACTCTGTCACCATAGGACCTTCCTCACCAGTCTCACTCTCTGCTTTGCTCATCTCCTTGCCTTTCGCTTGGATTGCAGATACCTCAGCTCTGAGTTCAATTTCTCTATCCCGAAGTGTCCCAGCCTGAAATGAAATTTACATCTCATTAAAGCTTCCTTTATGACATGTAAAACAGTTACCAAAGCAATAAAAATATAAACAGTATGTGTGTACCTTTTCAAAGTCCTGGCCACGGACAGCCTCATTCTTCTCCTTTGTTATCTGCCTAAGCTCCTTCTCAAGCTCCCTAGCTTCCTCAGGGACCTACATAACCGAGCAATTCAAATAATTATCAAAAATGAAAATGGTAACTAAAAGGCGCCTGCCATGTGATTTACACCCACCTGCGCATGACGAAGTCGAACCCGAGAACCAGCTTCATCGATCAAGTCAATTGCCTTGTCAGGAAGGAAACGATCACTGTAATAAAATTACAATCAGATGAAACACTTACGAGTTACGACACCATCAACAGAAAGTCTAAAACTGAAGTTATTTAACTATTAATCTGCGAGATCAGTTACCTGATATACTGGTATGACAGCTGTGCAGCTGCTACTAAAGACTCGTCAGTGTAACGAAGCTTGTGATGGATTTCATATCGCTCTCGCAGACCCTTTAGGATCTGAATAGTTTCATCCACAGTAGGTTCAGGTACTTTCACTGGCTGGAATCTTCTTTCCAATGCAGGGTCTTTCTCAATGTGCTTCCTGTATTCGTCTAACGTTGTCGCTCCAATGCACTGCCGTGATTTAGCAAAGCATAGTTGAATACCAGTGATAAATTACATAGTGCATAACGTTGTCATGTGAAACGGATCGAATGGAATAGTTACCTGCAATTCACCTCTAGCGAGAGCTGGTTTTAAAATGTTAGCTGCGTCAATGGCACCTTCCGCTGCTCCTGCTCCAATCAAAGTGTGCACTTCATCGATAAACAAGATGATCTCGTCACTCTGTTTTATCTCTTCCATAAGCTTTTTCAATCTCTCTTCAAACTCTCCACGATATTTCGTTCCAGCAACCAGAAGACCCATGTCAAGTGTTATAACCTGAAGTTACACAAAAAGAGAAAACACGAAAACAAACAGATTACTATAAACTGCTAGTTGTGAGTCTAGTGACGTGAGTCTAAAATGCTAAGTACGTTGTTTATATTGTTGCAGTAGCATAAACATCTCTAAACTTTTCACTCATTTATAACCATTGATTTCTTAAGTGGCAAACTTTTCAACGAGACTAAGAGACAGACAAGAATTGTGCTTACCTTCTTCCCTTCAATAGTTTCAGGAACATCTCCACTGGCAATACGCTGCGCTAGTCCTTCGGCAATAGCTGTCTTACCAACACCAGGTTCTCCAATAAGACAGGGGTTGTTCTTGGTTCTCCTGCCAAGAATTTGCACGACACGTTCTATTTGTGGCTGTCTACCAACAACTGGGTCCAATTTACCCTGAAGTGATAGAAAAGATTTGGGTAAGCGTCAAATAATATCATCTCTGCAAGGGGCCTCATCCAGTTAACATCAACAAATAAGTACCTCCTCAGCCAGCTTAGTCAAGTTTGTCCCGTACTCTTCAAGAGTTGGCATCTTATTGCTGCCGCTTCCTCCTCCAACATTAGCAGTGACCTCATTGTTCTCACCCACCATGCGGATCACCTAGCCATCCAATTCATTTAAGTTATTGATGCTTTGGAGTATCAGTTTTAAAAATGAAAATTTCATTTCATCACAGAGATGATTACTTTACCTGAGTGCGAATGTTACTAGGATCTGCACCTAAATTCTCAAGGACTCGTGCAGCAACACCTTCACCTTCACGTAGCAACCCAAGAAGAAGGTGCTCGGAACCGATGTAATTGTGACCTGATAATTCACGCAAGAAGCTATTAACAAAAGGAAATAGGTAGACTAGAAAGTAATACATAATAGTGTACTACACAGTCAACATAGATTCCAGATACAGACGCACACGATTAAAGCAAAACACTTGCTACACAGAAAATACTTACCAAGTTGGCGAGCTTCTTCCAATGAGAGTTCAAGAACACGTTTAGCACGGGGAGTAAACGGGATCTCAACAGCAACAAACCCACTACCCCTTCCAATAATCTTCTCAACCTCCACACGTGCATCCTTAAGATTAATCCCCATAGACTTCAAAACCTTAGCAGCAAT